AGGTTTAGGGAACACTCGACGTTATCAGGAGACAAAGATGGGTGAGAGGGTCAAGTAACTGGGTGATGTAACATTGTATCAAAACCCCTACGTTAAAAATATAGTGTCAATATAAACACAAAGGTGATAGTACACAAGTTTACTCAGTGGCTGATTAACGAAGGAGTTTATGTATATGTGTGTGCAGAATCATCTCTCTGAATTGGTTGCAAATTTGCATCAATAAGTTGTCTATATTTCTTTTAAATATCTGAAATAATAATTAATAACTCGAAAGAGAAAACAGATAATTAATATTAATATCGACTGGGGAAGGCAAGCTGTTCGATACAAATCTTCCCCGTGTAAGCAGTACAAAGAGAATCAGCGGAAGATTTATTTCAGAAACAACCTTTGCCAAAGGTTTAGCAGAATTGCATGAAGCGTTCAAAAATTCAGGGGTGGAGGGAATTCGATTTTTTTTCTTCCAAACAGAACTATATAATCCATTGATTTTATTTAGCTGTAATTTTTTACAATGAAAGGTCAGGATATTAAAAAAATAAGATAACATTTGAGGTTGGGAAAGATGTGGCTTATTTAGTTCATCTTCCATTAAATATGTACATATGACACAGTATTTTTTTAAATAATTTCAACCCAAGCAAGGTAATATATCAACTAAAACGAAAGAGGCTACTGAATTTTAGAGAACATGAAAAAAATAATGAGAATTGACATTAAAAGAACATGAATTAGAAAGACAGAAGATAACAATTGGAATTATATTTAAATTCTTGAAGATCAAAGTCGAATGAGGAGCAAGAATCGGTCAAGTTTCGATCCCGGCTTGAAGCAACGGGATGTCTAGCCATACTGATGATCTCTGATATAGTGAAACAGCCTATCTGTGGGATATATATCGCCTGATGATATGTGAAATAAGTATATTTTATATGTTGCATTTATATATATTAATACATACAGAAACATATATATGTACACACATATACTGTTTCTGTGTCTGTAGAAGTTGACTGATTCCTATACAATATTAGATATATAATTAATCTGATATAAAAGGACAGCCTCCTTATTTCAGGAAAGAATCTTTAATTTTTGTTAAATCGCATATAACAGTCGAACGACTTTTCGAGAATAGCTTTTGACAAAGAAGATGCAAGGGCCTCTCTTCTGAACGGATCTGTATTAGTTCCCAAAGCAGGCACTTAACTTTTATTCGGTATTCCATTGTCTCGAATTAAGTCCGAACAAAATATCAAATTTGCAATTCAGATTTTCTTTTGTATTTTTTATCAAGTTGTTGAATTCAAATGACATTCTAACCAAATAAGAAATGAATTGTTTATGTGCGATCTAATTATATGAAATTCTCAATAATCCAGTCAAGCAGTAAATCCCACGGCATCACTGTGCTCGGTTCATTCTCCCTCCTTAATGCAAGCAGGAAGATGAAGATTGTAATTGTTGATTGTTGATTCTTTCAACGTTAAAAATCATGTTTAACGTTTCATCAGGTGGGGAATGTGCATCGTGATTCCCCACCCGATGAAACGTTAAAAAAGTTTTTTTTTTTTTCGTGTTTTTAACATTGAAAGAAGATGTACAGTTTTGTAGTGGGTGTGTGCATGTTCTAATGTAACACTGCATAATAAATATATAGTTCTAGTTTAGATTATGTTTTGAACGCTGAAATCTTACTCTTTATTCTTTTACTTCTGTGTCTATACACACAACACACACACACACACACACACACACACACACACACACACACACACACACACATATATATATATATATATATATATATATATATATATATATATATATAGTTTAAGATATGCTACATGTTATATAGGAATAAAGTGTAGGTGATGACACTGGAGTTTGAACACGGATCGTCAAAGAGCAAACACAGTCAATCCAATTATTGTATTAAGTGGATCACGTGATCATAAGGGAAACACATAAATATGAATTAGCGTGACGTCTAATTGATCACACTTTCTTTTCTATCGTTCATTACTATACGGTTCGCTTTTCTTTATACTATTCACTGCTTCTACATGAAAGCAACCTATGGAAGATGTAAAAATATCATTTGAGAGAATCAAAGAATAGGGTTTTTATATCAGTGAAGGAAAATGCGATTTGTTTATGTCCAAACTTAAATATCTAGGACAAATTACTGATGAATACGGTAGACAGCCGGATTCTTCCATAGCGAGCGCAATAAAAAAAGATGCCCGCTCCAACAACTATAACAAAGTTAAAAGCATTTTTTATTGTTTGTTAACTACTATCATACATATATACCTAATATGGACGAATTAAGAAAGGCGTAAAATGGAATTGGACAGATAAATGTCAAAGTGCGTTCGAAGAGATCAAGAAAATCTTAAAATCGGATTTATCACTAGCACATTTTAAGCCTAAAGTAAAGATTGTGTCATTTCGAATTGGAGGTGTTATATGGGATTAAATGTCGCTGTCGACACTGGAGATTGACCTCGGATCGCCAAAGAGCAAACACAGGTGATCCCATTATTGAATTAAGTGGATCACATGACCATGGCGGAAAAGCATAAGTACGAATTAGCGTGACGTCTATCCTGTTGATGTATATGCGCGTTTCTTTTTTTTTTATCGTGGTAACGCTTGTGTGCATCTGTGTCTTTACATGTGTGCGTGTGTGTAGCTGTGCGTAGATGTTTGTGTTTGTATGCTTTAGGTCTGTGTGCGTAACAGTATTTTGTAACACTGTAGATATTTATTTGAATGTCTACTTTTACCCATTATTTCGTCTTCTTGTTTAATAGTTTGCTTTCGTTTTTAAGTTAACTGTTTCCAATTTTTCCTTTAGGTATAATTTACAGTTTCTGCTATCGCTATTGTGCATGGTGCTCTTTTTATAATGTCCTATTTAATTAAAATAAAATTTTCAGTCGGAATACTCTAAAACCTAGCTATGGTTGTACTAATAATCTAGAGAAAATAATTAAATCACACAAAAATAAAACATTGAAATTATATAACAATAATAACTGTAATGCTAATACATATCCTAATTTGTCTCGTATAATTAACCTATGTAATTGTTGGAATTTGGACCAATATCTTTTATCTGACAAATGCTTAACGAAATCCCTTGTGTATAGGTGTTCTATTTCATCAATTGAAAACCCCGGAATTATTAAAATATATTGGTAGCAAAATGAAATACATTTAAAATACGTTTGTTTAATCATCTCTCCACCTTTAATAATGTTGACAAATGAAATATGACTTCATTTTCTAAATATGTTTGGGAATTGAAAGAGGAATAGAAAATACCTAAAGTTAAATGGAAAATTCTCAAACAAGCCAGAATCTGTAGATCCGTTTCAGAACCGTGTTTACTTTGTCTACAGGAGAAAATGAAGTTAATTAAAATCTTGAATAGCGATGAATTATTAAAGCAGAAATATGAAACTACGGTAAATTGTAGGCATATTAAAGAATAAACCTTACAATTTTGCTAAACTTTATAACTCAATACTCACTCCTTTTATGTTATATTACCTTTATGTAAACATTTTAATGTTATCCTTAGTGGTTTATTCTAGATTAAAGTATTAAATAGGTTACTATTCGTAAATTACTGGTTAGGAAGGTTAGCCGTGAACTGGCTTTTAATTATTTTACTGGTGATCTTGTTTGATAATAGTTTTTAATTTAAAATAAATATATAAAATTCATATAAATATTTAAAATTTATTTTGTATTCTAATTTATGGGAGGTTAGTATAATTAAGTAGTTGTTTTGTTTGTATATATATTTTTCTTCTTAAAGTGTCTTTTATTTACGTTTAATTTTGTTTAAATATGTGATTTCATTTAAAATGACAAAGTTTGAAATGCTACAACGTATCTAAAATATGTTCTATCTTGTCACGTTATATATCCGTTTAATATTGAATTCTCCATCTTAAGCTGTCTTCATTGGCTAAGGTGGTATCAACAAATTCTTATATCTTATTTTCTTCCCTTTCCTTTTCCTTTGTATCTGTAAAATTTGGATATACTCCTTTCCTTCTTTTTCCTTTCTTATCCTTCTCTCCGTAGTATAGTTGATTTCTTATGTTCTCTTCTGTATTTCTTTTCTTTCCTCTTTCTTTTTTTTTTATTGATTTCTTATCCTCTTCTTTTTTATTTTAATCTCTTTTTTCTTTCTTTTCCTTTTATGGGAAATATTGTTTTTATTTTTTTCTTTGCTTTCTATGGAAACTTTTCAAAAATGTAAAAAGTGAACTCAAGGTATTTCATAGGTTATGCTTCTAGTCTAAAATACACCTTCATTCTGAAAGGAAATACATTAATATTAAATCTTGAACTCCCACAAACTTTCCAATAATTTTGTTGCGCAAAGGTGCGTAAATACCTCTCAATTATTTCCTTCTTATACGCACAGAAATGTTTGAACCCACCTGCTTCATTCAATATAAGTTACATATAACTTTACGTTAAGTAAGTTGAAATGAGTTTCCCAGTTTGCCCTATATTCGTACGCGCTTTTCCTTAGACCGTTATGAGACTAATTTTATGGTCAATTCTTTTGTACCCCTCGTGTCCATTTCACCGTGAAAATAATGGCGCTTCTCAGGTTATCCGGTATGGTCAACTTTTTTCTCCGGACAGTGTCATTTGTTCCGCTCGACAATATCCTGATTTCTCTATCATATTTAAAAGAAAAGGACAAGAGAAGTAAAGATAAAAGAATTGGGAAACGATGTCAGGCTAAGATTGTAAATTTCGTGCTTATTATTGCCATGAATCTATAAATCAACGATAGGTTGAAAGGGAATCGTTGCTGCATTTGGGGCCGGAATTAATGTAAATTGATTATTTCTCACGCGGTTTCCTTCTGTAATTCCTTCTAGATTTCCTAATTCTTTCCTATTCCTTTCTATCTATTATTTTCTATTTCTTGCTTTCTGTCTGTTTTGTTTTCTTTGGTTATGTCATTATTTCTTCTATTATTTTTTTATGTTTATCTTTTTCTGTATTTCTCACTTTTCTTTTATTTTCTTCTTTTTTTATTTCGTTTTATTTTCTTTCTTCGTTTTTTAAAAGAGTATTTTTTTCAATTTCATCCCATTTTATTATACATTTTTCCTTTTCCTCTCTCTTTCTTTCTTTTTCTTTTTGATTTCCTGTTTTTCTTTCTTTCTTTCTTTCTTTCTTTCTTTCTTTCTTTCTTTCTTTCCTCCTCCGCCTTCTATTCTTTCTTTCCTTTCTTTCTTTCTTTCTTTCTTTCTTTATTTGCCTTCCTGTTTTCCGTTCTTTCTTTCTATATATCTTTCTTTCTTTTTTCTTATTCATCCTTTCTCATCTATCATTCCATTAGTATTGGCATTTATTCCCTAAATAATATACTATTTAAATTGTTTTTAGTCATTCTTCAGATTTCTATTTCTCTCCATTCTTCCTTTTTACTCTCTCTTTATTATGCAAGTTCAATCATTTTGCTGCTGGAAATTCTGACATTTTTGGATGCCTGTCAATTTGCCCTTGTGATTACCTCAGCTAATATAATATTTAAATATTTTTTTATCATTCAAACTTTCCACTATTATCTTTGTGAATTTTTCTTTTCCTTTTCACTACAATGTTTTTTTATTACTCCTATTTTCAGGCTTCTTCTTCTCTTTTTAATTTCCTTTCTTTCATCTTTCAATGAATTTTCTTTTTCATCCAGTCTATTCCTCAGTCGCCTCATGTTTGTTTTTCTTTTCTTCGTTTGTTCTTCTTTTGTCTCTTTCTTTCTTTTCTTTCTTTTCTTTTCTTCTTTTGCATTTCTTGTACCTTTCTTTTGTCTACACCACCTTTATTTCCTATATCCTGATTTGTTTTTTTGCATTTAGCTTACTCTTCTAATTTCATTTTTTAACCTTTTTCCATTCCCTTTCCATTTATTATCCTTCTGTTTTTTTCTACCTTTTTGTCTTTGTTTTCTTTCAGTTTCCTATTCATCTCATTTCTACATTAAGTTCATTAGAGTTTTTATTTCTTTATTTCTTTCTTCAAATCTCTCCACTTCATATTTTCTTTACCTCTCATTTACTGCGTCTCTTAACACATTCATTCATTCATTCTTTCTTTCTTTCTTTCTTTATTTATTTAACTCACCTTTATAATCTTTCTTTCTTTTTTAACCTCACTTTAACTTATTTCTTCAAATGTCCTTTACGTTATTTTCTTTTATTACTTTCTTTTTGATTTCTGATTTAGGAGGCTTACGAGAACTCGGCTCCTAGGCAAAAGAACATGCATCAAAATTAAGACGAAGCAATGAATTGAAATAGTATGATGCAAGTTCTTCTTTCTACATCATTCCACTATCCATCCGTCGAGCAAAACATCGATGCTAAACACAATGTATTGTCCACTTGTTTGGAACCATATTATCGCCACAGAAAATAGGAAATTCTCCTTCTTCCCCTAATTCCATCACTTGTCGCTTTATAGACAAAAGAATCCCAACTTATTCTAATATTGGTGTTATTCTTTAAGCAGGTGTAAATATTTATTCGCAAAGCCAGGGTCATTCAATGTGTTTCAATTCACAATTTTAATGCATCAGCAGTATTCTTCGAATGAATGGTTTTTGGATTATGTTGGGCAGCACCAAATTCTTTCGACTTAATTGGAAGTGAATTTTTCTCCAGATTTTGTTTATGCATTCATGCATCATTTACTTTAAGATGAAAAATGAAAGGATGAATTGCCAAGGAAAAAAAAACAAAGAAATTACTAATAATAATGAAAGGAGAAGAAAATAAAAAATTAGAAACATATAATGAAGAAAGAAAGTTTGAAGTAATCGTTACTCACACGACTCATTAGATGTAAGAGAATATGGGAAAACAACGACTCGCTACTACTTGTTGAGTTTGAACAAACGGGTGACAAACAAAGTATGCTAAAATACAAAGTATTTGTAACGCAAAAATATTTAAAGCAACAGAAGACATGATTTTCTGTTTCAATGTCTAGAATGATGAGTTATCATTATTAACCCTATTTATATTACGTATATATTGATCTGTGTAACGTACAGGGAATTATAAATAGAACACTTTATTTAATGTACGGTGGTAGATTGCTCTCACTCCACTACCCGTGTCTAAGGATATATCTAGTTTTTATCTATCCATATATTTATAGTACTCTTCAGTCATTATCCGCCTGTTTCTACTGTGTCCACTGCCCAGACCAAGGATTGAACTTACAATTATTAAAAAAAATAAGAACTAGACGATATCCCTTGAAATATACAGTGGAACGATAACAGTGTACACCCGTAAATTAAATACAGGTAACTGTTCAGCATTCCCCGTAGGTTACGCAGATTGATATACACCTGATTAAACCCAGAGGGTACATCGGCCGAAACATTGTGATAACAACGACAAAGATGAGGACAATAGACCGAATAACAATATTCTAAATACAAATAGTGCAAATAAAAGGCATGAAGTTTTCGAAAATCATTGTCGCCCAGTTTCTGAAAGGGCGTAGCACATCAACATCAGTCCTAGACTGCTTCGATCGTCGGCAGGACCTAAGGGTGGAAGAAACAGACAACCTGTTCCACAATGATCCGTTGATAGTGATTACAAGAATTCCTACATTCTCATGCCCGTCCAATCTTTATGTCTGATGCTGCCGTTCCTGCTTACAACATTCGTCTACAACATTAACTGGCATAATGCAGAGCGTTTTGTGCCGTCTGACGTAGCCAAACGAGGACATCTTCCCAAGCTTAGTGGCGTTGTTGATTCACAAAACATTTGACTTTTCTCCCTACAGTGACTGGTTCCATTAGAAGATGCGGAAGGGCTTTCTCAAGCATTTGTTCTCGAACGCCTGAATCATTTTTCCTGAAACAACCAAGAATATTCAAGTCTATCCATCCTCCTCTACGGATGTTCACCCGTAGAGGAGGATGGATAGAGCTTGAACTTGGCATGGCATTTTGCACTTCCATATTCTTTCCATTATGGCCATCGCTTCTGAGGCCGTGACGATCCGTGTGCAGATGTCTGAGTTGCAGGTGTCATAGTTTGACAGGGTATTGGGAGGAAGCTGGACACTTCCTCCGGTCGTTTGCCGTAATTGGCGACGTTGGCACTGATGTTGCTTGTGCTATTCCCCATTACCTTGGGATTTCTCATTGTCGAGTTCTATTCTATATGCACCAGCCCTTTTAACAAGTTTGTTGATAAGATCTTGCATCTCACAGTTATTACTCTCCACAAGGTCAATATCGTCTGCGAAATGCAGGTTGCAGACAGGTCTACTACTGATAGAGATAGAAGTACTGTGATCATGGAGCGTTTCCTGCATAATTCTCTCGGGAAACAGGTTAAAGGCTGTTTTAGACACGTTAAAAATTTATTATAAACTGATATTTTGCATTGGTTTATGAATTAATATTCAAATTTCTGTTTTTGAAAGAAAATGTAAATTTGTAAATGTTTTTCTATATTTAGTGCATCGAGTTGAATGTAACACAAGACGAAATATTCACAAATCGGTATAGGAAGATTTCATTGCGCCAATTCATCAAATGCAAAGTGCATGTCTGCCTTTAGAATCAGTATTCTAACCATGATATTTTTTTGGACTCATCGCTAATCAGTGGCGTTTGTGCAAGATATTGCTAAACATTTATCAATCACTCACAGTTTAAAAGTAAGGAATACCCAGCGAAAATTGAACTTACTAGAATATTAATATTCCGACAGATTAAAGTGCGAACTATTTTTCTACGGCGAGGTTCTTGTATTGTCTTGATTTAAATGAGAAAAATAATTCTGATTTTTCCAATGGCTAATAGCAAACGTAATTTGGCATCATTATACCATATTCTTAACTTTAGAAGAGAAATATATGTTTGTCGCAACCGTCAAGGTAATCTATTGTTTATTGATTTTACTCATTTTTTATTCAATTCACCCCAAGAAAGACAACAATTTTACTAAGATGCAAGGGGCTACTGGGAGTGAAAGAGAACCAGAATACTTTAGAAAGAACCGGAAACAAAATCCATTACAGGAAATAAGAGATAAAAAGACCGGGGAGAAGTGTGAACCGGGGAATAGGCAAGCTTATCTACTCCTATTGACACTATATAATCTATTACGATCCGTTGCATGTTCCTGATAGAGAAAATGGACACCTCCATACAACTTTAACTATTTCTAGAAATGTTAAAAAGAGACAAGTATGCTCCTATAACTGGAGCAGCTACAACAAAGAGAGAACAAAAATACAACCATTTGTGAAGTTATAATCATCTACTAAGGGTTCCAAGAAATAGGACTCACAAATTTCCAAAACAGGCGCAATGATCTCGAATTGGAATGAAAGCAGTGATAGTACACACTATGAATCTAAAACAAACAAAAAAATAGGATATGGAATTAGTAAATACCAAAGACTTCAAATACTTCGGTGTATCACAAATTAGTATAAGAGATAAGAAAATTGAATATAGACTAGGCTCCGTTAGACGTAGTTTTCTCCAACAAAGCAAACTGCTACAAAGTCAAAACATTAACCTGAAAACTAAAGTCATGTTCTCCAATAGCCTCAGCAGATGGAGACATTCATATGGATGTTATGCATGGTGGCAAACCTGTTCAGAAATATCTGAACTCTCAGCTCTATACAAACGCTTCCTAAGAACAATGGTTAAAAATGACTGAAAGTGTTAAGACAATAATTCTTCGAACAATGTGGACTGACATTACAGAATCTAAGCAAAGAACTGTCGAAGGACTATAATAGAAATCACATAACTTGAGAACTTTCAACAGCATCAGCGGCCTGCTTTCAGATAAACAATGAGGATTTCGTTTCTGTAGATCAATCGTCGATGTGTTAATGACTATTATTGAATATGCCTATCAAGAGAAGATCGTGCCGTGAATTTATATATCTCAGAGTCGTTTGGCCTTCTTCACAAGCTAAAATTACTCTCGAAAATGACATTCAGTCAAGTGTCAACTGAGGCAAGAAATGGCTGGTAAATTTAACCGCAACCAATACGAAACTGCTATCTTTTAAACATCATAGAGAATTTATTTTTTGCCTTCCATCATCATGGCTAATGGTAAACTCGAGGAGTAAAAGATCGCTGTACCTTTTTAGTTTCAAATATTTCATTGACATGAAGTAGGGTTATTATATTGAATGAATTACTTAGTTTGATGCCAGGAAAGTTGATTCAATTTGCTAGACAATTTTTCTTCCAGAATCCATTTTGCGTATTTCTAAATACGCCTATTTATTGAATATTGCTGCTCTGGGCCTCCTGCTATATATCTCAAGATTTTACGATTGTTCCAGAAACCTCTCCTCATTGATACCTCAACCGCATGAATTTAAGCATACTACTAGATTGGTTACCTTTTTCTCATTTCTTAATGTTGAAACAACTCGATGTTACCCTAAGTTTTATTTTTAAAGTTTTTTCTCTTGCAATTCTCGACTGTGTATCTCTCTTCGGGTTTCGTATTCCTCTACTAGTTACGATCTTCAAAGATTTAAATGCAACGTCATTCGCCATCTTCTGTGTAGTTGAATCCAGTTCTCATCTTGTCCATTCTCCAAAATAATGTCTTCTGGTTCTCTTTCACTTATAGTAACTCGCATCCCAATGACATTATTGCATGGGGTGAAGTGATTAAAAAGTGTTAAAACGTGCTTCGTAGTAATGCTTCGGTTTCTTGTCTTGACGTCTGTAATTATTAGTCTGAAGACTGATTCCAAAAGGCTGGTATTTACCAAACCTCCCCACAAGGCAAGATGTAGCACAGGGTCTGCTGCTACGTGGGGTGATTTAGAGCTCGTATGCTCGTGCAAAAATTCTCCTTAGATCCCACATACACGAGCTCTGATTTGCCTACCTCACCAGACAAGACTCTGCCCGTAAGCATTGCCTCGTCTGGGTTCATCTTTGCTCAAATTTAGAGAGTTTACGAGCTTGGCATTGAACGGCCTGACTCCAAACGGCTGGTATTTACTCCCCACAAGGCAGGATAAGGCAAAAGGCCGGTTTTTACGTGGGGCGATTCCAAGCCTGTAAGCTCAGGCAAAGCTTTCACTTAGATCCCGCATACACGGAGTCGGGTTGCTCTATCTCCCCAAACAAGACTCTGGCCGTAGGCAGAGGCTCGTCTGGCTTCCTCTCTGCCTGAAAGCATAGAGTT